TTGATCTTCAGGTTTCTCATTACTATTGACCCATCCGTCACCCTCTTCAATATTTAAATTGGTCTATGTGACAAACCAGTTTGAATGACTTTGGGAAAACTCTGAACTATTTTTTAAATCCATTAATACAATTTGGAATTTGAGAGCCATGCTTTTCTCCATTAATTCWATTACTTTGTATACTATGCTACACTCATTACCCAAGTCACAGTGACCWCCCTTCACTCCTGCCAGAGAGTGGTGTGCCTTTCAACCCTTCCTTTCTTTAGCCTTTGCTCCCAGGCAGAAACCCTGAGGGCAGCAGTGTGAGCTGCCATTTAACAGCTGATTCCAGCTGGCACTTGTCTCAGATTGAGGCCATCAATAATTTCTGTGAGACTGAGCATCTCATTAAAATGACACGGCCCTGCAAAGAWCAAGAAAAAAATCTGCATCTCCAGGAAGGGACCTGGTGGGACCTGGTGCGATTTCCTCAGTGCCTCCATTGGCATAAAGAATTAGGAAGCAAAGCATCATTGATAAAGGAAATTTGTACCTTCCACTCCTACCCCAATCTGAAGTCTAATATTAAAAAAATAATGATACAGGTTGAATAGCCTTTATTTGAAATGCTTGGGAAGAGAAGTGTTTTGAATTTCAGATTGCTTCACAATTTGGTATATTTGCATATACATCATGAGACAACTTGGAGAAGAGATCCAAGTCCTAAACCAAAATTCATTTATGTTTTATATATGCCTTATGCCCATAGCGTGAAGGTAATACTACACCATATATTTTTAATTCACGGATATTGTGACTGCAACTCATCACATGAACTCGTGTGAATTTTTCACATGTCAACACTTTAAAATTTTCAGTTTGGGGATCATTTCAGAATTTGGATTTCCAGATTAAAGATGATCAGCATGTATTTAAAAGTTTGATGTAAAAAAAATAATGTTCTTTCAAACTACTTATGCAGTTGGTCTCAATAAAATAGCAAGGATAAACAAGAGCTAAATACATGCTGGATCTGCATCAGTTACTGAATAAGTACTTTTCAAGGGCCTGACCTCAGAGAACCCACTAAAGGCATATATCAAGATATCAACACACACACACACACACACACACACACACACACACACACACATACCACTATTTATGTATGTAAAATTTTACTGAAGATGCCTATAATCTAATTGGGAAACATATATAACATACTACAAATCAAACAAAAATATAAACATTACATTAATTGGACACCAAGTTATATAGCATAGACTACTATTATAAGAGTTTTGACTAAAATCTAGTGAGCTAATTTTTACATGCTAAAAATGTTTCTGTGAGATAAAATAAGGTAAAACATGGATTCAAATTCACACTGACAATTGTGAAAATCCCTTTTACATACTGTGTGTCAATGAAAGCAAGCTACTAAGGGTTGCTTGTATAAAGACAACTAGAGTATTAGCTGTGCTCTCTAGAATATTTGGATGAAATGTTGACTACTTTATTTATATCTGACCTTTATGAACAAAAGACAAGTATAAAAATAGATTCATAGTTATCTAGGAGGAAAAAAATTAAGAGCTCAGAAATCGTGGTGTGACAGTTTCTATTCATAAGAATCTCCATACATCAGTTCAATGTCTGGGTGTCAGATACTGTCTAAATGAAAAACTGAACAAGAGAGGAAAAACTGCCATTGTTAATCCAGTCAAATTAGGCCACACTCTTGACATTACACTTGCACTTTAAAATTTGGGTTTGATACACACACCCCAGAATTTACATTTAACTCATGTTAAACACATCCATAACATTACAGTGTGCCYCAGGTACATGACAAAGAATACATTTCCTGTTTTGACATTATTTAATTTTCACAAATATGTCATTTCCTTTGCTTCAAGAGAAAACTTTTTTTGAATAAAGACAACAGACCCTGGACTTTTTGGCTGTGCAAAATGTTTAGTAATAGATAGTGGTTTGATTAATTGCTTTGACTCTTGAAATAAAAGAATCAATCTGTTTTTAAAGAACTAAGTTCCCTAAGCCATCAGGAACTAATATCAGGTATATCAAATTTGAAATAACCRTACTTTAAAAGGTATATATTTTCCCATTTTTTCTTTCCACTGGTTATATCAAGATTTAAGTTTTAGTATGGTATAACTCTATCCTCACCACTTCTTAAATATTAGCTAATGCTCTTTCATAACAAAGACCATAGATTACAAGAKAAGGACATAATGATATCTAATTAGAATTTAATGTTGTTTTTCTTGGATCTTTATTTATGTTTAGAACTTCCATTTATTTACGGCAAGTGTACCTTTCTGGTTTCTCATTTACAKAAATAATAACAATTTCCCCTGCAAGTAAGTTTGAGAAAGTGAGTCAGTTTAAGAAAAATATTCAGAAAATAGTAACACACATGGTACTCAGATAAGGCTAAATGTGTCCAATGGTAATTCACAAGTGACAAAGATTAGGGAAACGGAGCTAAAATAAACATAATAAAGATATTTATCTGGGGCTGGGGATATAGCTCAGTTGGTAGACTGCCTGCCTTGCATGCATAAGGCCCTGGATTGAATTCACAGAACTATCCCCCCMCCCCCCCCCCCAAAAAAAAAATATATATATATATGTGTATATATCCATTCTTTGAGTCCATGTTAATAACTTTAATATTTTCAATGATGCAATATGGAATTCCTAAATTTTTATTTCTGTTGGCAGGGAACTGCAACCTAGTATTTMACCCCCCAAATGTGTATAAATTATTGATACAATTTGTTTGTATTAGRAGACAGAACAAGAGGACTTTTAATAAAAGTAACTTGAAATAATTTCATGGTTATGTTCCACAGAGGTTTGGAGGTAACTTTAAATACTGCTGTATCATCACACTATGAACCTAAAAATCTATAAGTACCATACAGGAAAGATCATATTATAACACAGCTACTTGGAACCCTAAAATGATGCTTCCTACCTGTGGTTCTGCCATAGTACATGGAAAATAATGTTCATATACTAGAAAAATCAATAGCACACTCATACAAAATTCTCCCTTCCTGCCTTTTTTTTTTAAATTAGGCAATAACATCTACAGGGTTGTAGATGTTGATTATGTTCCTTTCCATCCAAGAAAACTAAATGAAATGGTAAATAAAAATTTAAAAATACACCAATATAATGTGCCTTTAAAAAAAAAAAACATTCATACATCAGTGCTTTACCCACTCTTAGCAACAAGTTGTTAAGGTGACTCACAAGTGATCTCCTGACACCTTAATCCAGACTCACTTCCCTGTTGTTGGAGTACAGTGTCAGTGTCCCCTCTTTACACTCTGAGGCCAGAAGTACCCAGGGAATGACTAGAAAAAAGCATGACTTGCAGATAAGGTGACCCAAGTCACTGGGGCTGGTACCAGTTATTTAAAATTTGATAAAAACAAGTAATAGTTTGAATTTACCTACAATACTTTAAGAAAGTGCGACTTTAGTAATAGACAGAAAAATAATTCTGTAATAAGATTGGGGAAAATGAAGGTCTAGTTTTTGACTCAAAAATGTGAAGACTCACAAAATCTGAGTGGCAACCCAAATTTTCTCCAGTGCAATAATGTGCTCAACAATATTGGAAAAACTGTTAACTCCTTTTATAGGTAAGATGTAGCATTCACTGRCACTGAAGATGCCAGTTGATTTAGTGTTTTCCGATTCATATTTTAAAATATATAAATTAGTGACTTTTTTTTAAAATTAGAAGGTATAACAAAGTGGAAGAATAAAGGATATATGTAAACTGTGCTATAATAGAAATAGTTTGCTAAAGATCCAGAGACCTGATCAATATCACTGATATAAAATCAAGCCTTACACTGGTCCAACTCAATATGCCTTTTAATAAAAATAATTCCTATTATTAATTAGGACAGAACCATGAAGTGTTAACACATATGTGTGTCTCACACTTGCCACTATAGAATCAGTCAACAACAATCGTTTTAGCTTCATGATTACGTTATTAACTTACCTTTGCCAACACAACAGGAACAGAGCCATGGTCAACATGGGAGTTTAGGCATCTCAATAATAAAGCCATCTTGTTTTGCATCTATGCTGACACTGTAATGACCTCACACTGTCAATCACTCTTTCAAGGAAAATTTAACAAACGTCTACTAAGCATGGTCCAAGATTACAGTGAATCCATTCACATCATCTGTGTTCACCATACACATCAACTGCACAAAATATTGTGAATCAAGGAAGCTAAAGTGAGCACAGCGTTAAACAATAATCTCACATTAACCAAAATAATCAAATAGAACTTTATACTCAAGAGTCAAATATTCACAATATTAAAGCACAATCACTAGGGATTTTTTTTTTAATTGTCCAGGGTTAGCTAATAATTTTACTGTTACTGTTGGACTCTGAGTCTCTTTCAAAGAAATTAGAAACATATTAATTAATACATCCACTCCTTCCCAAACCATCATTATAAACTTTTAAGTTTAAGGATCCATACTTTATAAGTTAGAGAAACAATATAATAAAATATCATTTTAATCAAATATAAAGAGAAAAAATAATTTTATGAACCAGAGTAAAAGAGATTWAAAAAAAGAAGAAGAAAAAGTATTCACTCTTTGGATCATGTAGGCACAGAGTTTACAGAAATACCTACATGAAACACAGTTACTATTTTTTGTTAGTAGGTACACACTTAAACATCAATAGCTTAACTGGTTAACATTCCCACCAAGGTTAGAAATGCAAATTTGGGAAAAAGAKCCCATAATATTTTAGTCAATAAGTGAACACAGAAAGCATTTTGTTACCATCAAATTGCAATAATGGTGGAAAACCACAGAATTCTTCTGCTATTTGTATTAAAATTACCCCTCAAACATCCATCAGAGGTTTCAGGCCCAACTATAATTCTGTGTTCACCCATTCYGTACTTAACATTAGTGTGTTCCAAGGGGTACTACCATGATCTTTGAGATTTCGAAGAATCACAGTAGGAAGGCTGTGGGACTGCCACCCTGTCCCTAACTTGGCCTCTAGTTCCTTAACGTGGGCCCTGAGCATGAGGGGTGGCACTTTCAGAAGCAGGTCAAGAGGCAGCAAAGCTGAAGAAATAAAAGGGGGAAAGGTATGAAACTGTAACATAAATCACACTGAATTTCAGGAAGGTATGTTGCATTCTATTGCTACCAACACTCAGTTACCTGGTCTTGGTCTTGATCCGATTCCTCCAATGTAGTCCCTGGAAACCAAAGTAGAGGCCATTTAGAATGACTCTTTAGACTTGGACTTGACAAACATTTGCTGTTGGCCTACTCTGCTGTGGTCTACATTATAAATTTAAGTGCATGCTGTTCTCCTTCAAGACACTCTCAAGAGGCTAAGGGAAATCAACAAATTCTAATGCAGAACAGAATGGTCATGCAAACAGGTAGAAATGGAAGAACTCTTGTCTTACCAGGGTTGCTTATRAGTTTTAAGTACAATTAAGAACATAAATCTTCATGCCCTGTGTGATTTTCTTATTACACTTAAAATCAAAACAGTGACTTTGGCACTAAAAAAATATTTAAATGTTATATGTTGGCTTTTCCATGATTGGTTTCTGTAGTCTTCGAAGGAAAAAAAAAAGAAAAGAAACCTATAAGTCTTCCGTTGACATGAGATGATTTTTTTCGTTTAAAAGGGTTACTTTTTCTTAGAGTTTCTAGTGCTGTTCATATCCCTTGATTTTCTTGCCTCTAAATTCTAGACTGCCTGATCATTTCGAAAGTTGGTGTCAGGCCTTCCACCTMATCTCCAGTCTTATATTTCCCACCATCACCTACAGCCAGTTTCATAATTGTTTTCTGTAATTAAATGAGAAACATCTGTGCCCTGACAAGCTACAAGAACTATACTTCGATGTAATGCAATCCAACAAAACAATATATTGAACATCTATGAGGCACAGGATAGGTATTTTCTCAGTAGGAGTGAATGCTAGGTTTCAAATACAAGCAAACATGACTGATAATTCTCTTGCCCCAACTCTTTCATTTTAATCATCAAATTATCTCCATTACCATTATCTCCTAGCCTTCTGGATGAGTCCAGCACTGCCCAATAAAAATAYAATGTAAGCCACAAGCATAATTTAAAATTTTTTCTGGTAGTCACGTTATTAAAAAGTAAAATAAATAAATAAGGTGAAATWAATTTKACARTTTTATTTAATCAAATATTTCCCATAATATTATCATTTTAACATGTAAAAATAAATGACCTTTTACATGGTTTTACATTTAAAATAATATTAAGTGAAACTAGAAAATTCAGCTTCTAGGTTACGCCAGCCACATTTCAACTGCTCAAGAGTCAGTCACAGGTGCACAGCACTCTCCATATTTAACACTGCAGATGCTTCCATAGAAGGAAGTCCTCATACACACATTACAGTCATGCCATATACTTGCTAACCCTACAGTAGTAGCCCAAAACAGGCCTCATCATCTTTAAAAGGTGAATAAAAAATCCAACTTATGGAGAACTTTTATCCAAGTTTATGGGTATTCCTGAAAAGCTGGTAACCACTCATATACTGAGTTAGATGACTATTGTTGTCCTGAAGAACTCAATATTTCATATACTTGCACATATTAAAAAAATATAATACGTAGTAGGATGTGTGAACGAGGCCCTCCTGGCAATGCCAGGTTGTACCACCTTTGTTACTCCTTTATATAATTCTAAATTCTTCTTTAATCAACTTTGGTGAATGTTTTCAAAGAAATATCACACAGTCACTCATTTATTCATCCACTAAATAGTTATTGAGTTCCTACTCCAAGTAGGCACTGTGCTAGACACTAGAGAGGGGATGGCAAAAAGAAACCAGTCTCCATAGTCTTAGACCTTAAGAGATTATTGAGTATAACAGGGAAAAAATATATTGATTTCTCTGGAAACTATATCATTAACCATAAGAAAGTAGTCATCTGAAACTTCAAAACAGAACGGATTCATTGTGACCAGTGGTGACAGCTTCTGCTGTGCAATTGTTTTTGCTCACAGATGGACAAATGACTGAAATTATGCAGAGCCTGAGGGAAGTCGGCCTCTCTCTAGATTGAAGCATGTGGAGTGTTTATGTCCAATGGAACATTATGGCCACAGAGGATGGCGTTCCCATAATAGCTCAAGCTGGAAAACACAAAGGAAACATTCCAGACATTTTTTTGGTGAAAAGGCCCAAACATATTGAAGAATGTGACCTCTGAAAGTTTTAACATGAGTGCTAGCCAATAGCAATTCAGACGGACCAAAGGATTTCAGGGCCATGGAGGTTGAAAGGATTCCAAAAGGCCATCACCTGCAGGACTCTTCCGATCTGCTGTGACCTTAAAAGAGAATCTGGAGATGTCAAAAATGAGCGTGAGCCTACAACTTCCACCTCAAATCACTAATGGGTAAGTTGGAGAACATAGACATGAGTTGTTGTTGTAGTTTTGTGTTTTTTTTTGTTGTTGTTGTTGTTGTTGTTGTTGTTGTTTTTAATTTTCAATAGACTTTTCACTGAATTAATTCAAACAGAGCATGAATTATTGGGCTAATTATTTTGTCACCAGAGTCCTGGCTATGAAGGAAATAAGGCTCTAGACTTGTCTAGAATTTCTTTAAATATATCTCTGAACGAAGAAAATATTTTCACATGGATTTTAGTGTATCACATAACTAAATTGTGAAAAGTAGTCAACACTGTTTGATGTTGACAATAATTTAAAAACGTTTTAACCTTTTAAAATGAGAAGCTTGGCTTACAATATTAAGAACATGCCTTTCGAGGCTCTAGCAACTACACCAGAGGAGCTAACGAGGATTTTACAGCCGGAAGTCTCTTCTGGGCAGTGACATTCATAAGCATGTCTTGTGTGAATAAGTGACATGAGGTAGGGTTGAGCTCTCATATTCAATAAGGGCCCTCATCTATCTGTAAAGTTAATAGAGCTGCTATCAGGACCAGGAAGCGTATGATGCTCCTGTGCCCTGCACTCATATTGCAGTGACAGCCAGAAACAGATGAGCAATATGCCAGCAGAGTGTAGAACTGTCGCAGGAAAGGAATCGAGGGGGGCATTGTTTTGTTTCCATTTTATTTGTTTTGTTTTGCTTGGAAGGCGGCTGGACTTTGATATTGGCAGGTAGGCCAGGTTGATTCTAGCAAGTCATGATCAAGAAGAATCCATTTCATCAAAGGAAAACTAGATACAGATTATGAAAAAGGGCTGAGGAGAAAATAGCCACAAGTAAAAATAAGCAAGACATCTGTTAAAGGTGGGAATAATCACAGGTTCTAAGATGGCATACRGGTCTTTGGGGTCGCATCCTTGATGCCTTATGATTACAAAGACCATAATCGTCTCTATATACGAAGATTAGAGTCAGAAGCATACTCTCAAACACAAATATGCATCACCAATTTATCAAAGAAGTTGTGAACCACAGGCATCTCTGGTACTGCAAACATCTGATGTCTCAAACCAGCTTGCCAACTATACCCTGGGTTGCCTTGGCAACAGGAGGCAAGCAGGCATGGAAAAATCTTGTTGCCTGAGCAACAGAATCTTAAAAAAAAAAAAAAATAGGCCTTAAGCTCTGACTATGTCAAAAGCTATAGATCCAAGCCAGTAAAGAAGATTTCAGTTCTTTACAGTGAAAGATGGTAGACTCAATCAGACATAACTTTCCTATGTACATATACGAATACACCACAGTCAATATCTACATCATGTACAACCACAAGACTGGGATTCTAATTAGAATAAGAGGCACTCCGTGTTTGTGTAAATACATCAAAATATATTCTACTGTTGTGTATAACTAAAAAAGAACGAAAACCCCACAGTTATTTATCTATTAATTAACAAATATTTGTGGACTGGTACCTATATGCAAGATACTGTGTTCAGGAATGCAAAGATACACCACACATAGTTTGGAGCATGCTTGATACACAGTAATAAATATCACCTTAAAAAGTAAATAAATATTTCTGATGGATTCTCACTGTGTTGTCAAAGTTGGTCTTGAACTCATGGACTCAAGAAATCCTCCCATCTCAGTCTCCCAAAGTAGCTGAGACTATAGACCTGCACCAACCACCATGCCCAGTTCAGATGAATATTCTTAAGAAGGCAATTTTTACAATGACCAGACATTACTAGGATTTTAGTTTAATAGAGGTTGAAATTCTTATGTGCCTTATCAAATTTCACTCTACAGAATGATTTAAGTTAAATAAAATGTGACTTACTGGATTAGAACTGGCATACATATATATATAGAATCAACCTCTAAAGCTATACATAAAAGCTCATCTTCAAAACTGTTAAGCCCATTTGTAATCTTTCCTGGCAAATAGTAATGCAGGCAGAAGATTTTTTTCTAAAATTGTTAAATGACTGAAGTTAGAAATTTCAAAGAAATTGGGGAGTGGTCATCTCTTGGTCTTACTGTTAATTATATTCCCAAAAAAGTTTGGGTACCTTCTGATTCTAATATTGAGTTTGCGTTTTCTAGCCTTCAACTTCTATATTTCCTTCAGGAGGCAGAAGCTGTCCTTTCTAGTTCTATTTGCTCAGGTTTTACCCTGTTGGCCTGACTCATTTGCAAAATAAAGCCTATCCCAAGTTATTAGGGAGTTATTTTAGCTCTTAATTGGTTTAAGTTTAGCTCCTGCTATGTGGAGTGACCAAAGTCAAGAATTTATGCCCAAGCGCTCTCTCTGTACTATTTAGCCAGGGCCAAGTCTGAGTTGTGCTCAGATCAGGTATACACTTCCCTGTGACATCTGTTCACTGGGACCAACTCCCTGTTTTTATGAGCCAGTAAGAGTCTGCAAGAGGGAGAGCTGCCCAAAGTCTCTTTATAACTGTTACACTATTTGCTACATGGCACAAAATAGACAAGGAAAAAAACCTCTACACGCTTGATTTTCTATTTTTTTTTTTACTCTATAATGTAGCTTTAGTATCTTCTTTTATATTTGCATTTATCATTTTGCTTCTAAATGTTTTGAAGGATGAGTTCACATTTCACATTAATAAAACAAGAAAATCCAAGCAAATTAGACTGAAAATTAATTTAGCTCTATTTAATGTTTTTCTTAAAATTATAAATAAATTTTAGAGATCTCTCCTTTTAATTCAGAGAGGACTTAAGGATCACCCGGAAGTCAAAAAATTATTAATTTTCTGCCCTCTCCCTTGACAAGAAGTATAGGCTGTCTTTTCTCATAAGCTCTCCTGCAGCCTTGCCCTTGTCTGGCATTACACTGTGAGTTCCTTGAGGGAAGAGAGCTTGTCTTAAACTAGCCTGTGTTTCCTGATGTCATGTCATACCACAAGTGCCCTTACATGGCAGAGCTATGCAAATGTTACATCATGTTTTATCTTCCTCAGAACATAGTTTCCAAAGTCTCAACCTCAGTGTACARGCCATTTTCCATTTGTTAACATGTTCATAAACCCAAGTTAAAGTTCACTCCGTAATACTGAAGACAAGCCCTTATTCAGGGCAGGCTGGAACACAGGCAGTGAACATGGGTCATGTCCATGCAGAGCCTGCCATGCTGACATCGGCCTGAGGAGTGGTGAGCCAGCATGCCAAGCCCTTCTCCCTACTCTCCCCGCACAACCCAGCCTGGGAGTATGAGCAGCAAAACGGAAGTGGGGGCAGGTCTGAATGGAGGAAAGTTCAGCTCAAGTGTTAACCAGTAGCAAGAGTACTTTCCAAGACCTAATCAGCATAAATTTGGACCAGTAGCACTGGTACTTTTCCAAAACCTGATTATCATAAACTTGAACCAATTGCATCGACTCAAGAGCTATATAAACCCCTACACTGGTACACTCAAGTGACAACCTGCTATCAGGTCCCCTCTTACCCTATGAGAGTTCTGTCTCTGTTCTTCCTACTTGAATAAATTCTACTTCTTTTCACTCTTGCCTTCTATTGACCATGAATTGAGTCTTTTATTTGCAAGACAAGAACCCAGCAAAAAGAAATTGACAGTGAGCTGCTGGTGTCTGCTGTGACACTAGTAGGCATATCCTGCCATTGAGAGCTGCAACATGCCACTAGATAGTAGTGAAGAAGAATCCAACTTTGCCAACTGTAACCCTCAGAGCTGACACCAGTAGACATGCCCTGCCATGATTAGCTGCTAGTAGCACTAAAAGGCCCTTTCTCAGTTGTAGAGGCCTGCAGCTTATACAAACCCCACCTGCAAGTAGAAACAAAGAACCTAGTTTTATCTCAAACTGGTCTCAATATCTCTACTACAGACAGAACTTCTCCTCCCTGCTGATTTCAGTTTACCCAATTTTTTTACAAAATGTTTAATGACTAGCTTTTTAAAAACCATCTCAAATCTAAATATATGGTACATATATTCCTTTTTATTTCTTTCTTCTTCTTCTTCTTCTTTTTTTTTTAATAAGGTAATTTTCCCTGGGTCCCTTTAGAAAATAAGAGTAGAATTATTTGGTGCTGCCAAGATCTCTGAATTCTTCTGATTGGAAATCTCCATTTTAATATAAAAGTCTCTTACCTGGGAAGTACAGCCATATGTCATGATTTTGTTTTGTAATGCCCCAGCTCTAACAGTCCCTCTACCTAGCTCTACTCAGCTCTATGTTGGTTGTTCCTGGTGGACCAGACTCCTGAAATCCAGACACTCCTCTCTGCAGAGGCCTAGAACATCCTCTAACAGATAGACACCTCTTTTCTAGTTCTGCAGCTTAACTGTATCTCTCTCTCTCTCTCTCTCTCTCTCTCTCTCTCTCTCTCTCTCTCTCTCTCTCTCCAGACAAAGAGAAAATGCCTGCCCTCTCTCCCCTCTGTGTTTTTCAGGCCCACTCTTTGGACTCCAAGCTACCCTGTAACCATACATTGTTAATCTCTTTCCCATTTGAATCTCTCTTCTTCCTTGGTTTCCTCTGCACAGTTCCAAATGCCCTGAGGTTACCTTGATTGTAGGAGGTCCTATTTCATCAAACACCACCCACAAATTTCTCCAGCTGACTCCTCACTCTCTTCAACTGCCTCTACTTCCTGCTGCTACAACTTTAAGACTACCCACAATCCATCCTCCTCCTTACCCCATGCCACTGAGACTCTTCTCAAGGTTATCAGGGACTTGCAAAAGCCCAAATCTAATAGTTTTATTTCAGTCAGTCCTTACTCCAAAAGGCAACTGTTACTGGCACAACTAATTGTCCTGAAATAATTTCTTTCTCTAAAAAAAGAATATCCCAAGTATATTCTATCATCCCTTGCAGCTAGATGTGGTCAAAAGAGAAAATTCTGGCCAAAATTATGTGTGAACAGTCATGGGCACAACAACTTATCATATTCTTAAAAAGAAAGGATGTGCCCCCAATTCCTTTTTCCTTTTCATGGCCACACTTGCCATGAGGATGAGATGTATACCTTGGGGATGTAAAGGAACCAGATAAAAAGAGCCAGGGTCCCAGACGGCCTCACGGAACTCAACTATCCCACCCCTGAACCCACAATGAGCTCAGGGAGTCTAAGGGACTRAAGGTCACAAAGCTAGAAAAAGGAAGAGCTGGACTAAAATCCAAGTGCAAGCCTAGTACTCTTCCCAGCATGCTCCTTGGTAAGCTGGGAGGGTTGGTTCTGGGAGGTCAGGCTCTRACAGTCTCCATTTCTGTAAGTCCATAGTATCTTCTGGCAATCAGTTTCAATGTAACCACCAATCACTCAGCTCTATAAAGTTTAAAAATACTTCTAGGAGCTCAACTTGTACATACCTCATTTGAGATTGTCTTTCTCCCCCAGAAGCACTAAAACTTCTCTTTAAAATGCCTGAAACAAGAGAATAAAAATAACTTATGTCCTCTGCAGTTTTTTTTTCAATGCTGCATTTCTGTCATCTGAGCAATTATACATACTGTAAAGATGCTCTTTGTTCATGAAAGCATCAACTAAAATATAATGTTACAAATTACTATCTGTTTGACAGGTTGGTTACTCCAAAGAGTAGATGCTAAACCACAACAACAAAAAAATGTTATTAATAGTTAGCAAAATACAATAGCATGTCTGTGTCCTAGTCATCTCCCTAAAGCCTTTGCCAAGACAGCTACACATTACCATATACAGATTTAAGGGTCTAGGTTCTTCCTGCCTCCCTGTTGCCCTTCCCCACCCAATCACTGTYACCAGGGATAAACAGCACTGACCTCTTAGAACAGAACTGAATTGCCTCTAGAATGTACTATGCATGTTTATATAGATAAAAAGTTTCTTTCATGTAATATTCATGATTTTCCTCATTGCAAATCAAAAAATTTTATCTATCAGGCAGGAACTTACAGGGGAAATAGGAACAAGGTTTGGAAACTGTGATTGTACCAAAAAAAATCTGGAAGATCTAGTCATCATTTTGATGGACCAATGAAGTTTTAAAAAGACAAAGGATGTAACTAACTCCTTAGAGTTCCACTTTCATCCTTAGACTATTTTAAACCTTCTTTTTTGAGACTCTCATAGCAGAGTCACTGAGGAGAAAGAATTATTTACTCTTAATTTATTTTGGAGGATTTCTATGTATAATTTCTATCTTCTATCAACTTACTATTTTGAGAGAATTGTGTTTTTTCTCCAACTTCCATTTTAATATTAAAACCATATTAAAATGGAAGTCTTTCCGTTTCAGGTTTGTAGAGTGTATTTTATCTTATCTCTTTTTTTAAAAAAAAAAATTGTTTTAGTTGTAGATGGACACAATACCTTTATTTTATTTATTTATTTTTATGTAGTGCTGAGGATCGAACCCAGGGCCTCACACACGCTAGGCAAACACTGTTACCATTGAGCTACAACCCCAGCCCCTGAACCTCTCTTTTCTTATCTTTAAATTCTMTCTAAATATGTATTTTCCTTTTCCGCTTTATTCCTCCGTATGACTGTTTTCTTTCCTGTTTGCAATTAGGACTAACAACATTGGGTGAAGTTATATATCATATTTTTTCATAGTTCTAAAAATATTTTGTTTTACATTAGTGTTCTTAAATATAATATGTCCTGTCACATTAACGTAAGTAAAATTGTACAAAAATGAGTCCACACCAAGGCTAATTTCTTCCACAGGTTTCTAGTCCCTCTGACCAACAAATCATAAAAGGCCACTGCTGTGGTTCTCGTGGTTAGTTCTCAAGAAATTGGTTATTTCAGTTCCCCAGTTAAAACCTGCAATTTGCTGGCAGAAATAATGAAACCATCCCTTTGACAGCTGAGGAAATGTAAACCACAGTGCTGGCTGGCCTCTGGACTCTGTCAGAGACAGATGTGCCTGTCCTCATTAGCAAGACACCTGGAAAACAAACCCAGGCTGTGCATTGGGTCTAACTCCCAAACCAATACCTGTTGGGATCCCACAGATAGCAAACTTGTACAGAAAACTTACTGAAGGTCGACTCTTTCCAAGGGCTCGAACTGGAGCTGCTGGAGTTATCCGAAACATCCAACTCATCATCCAGCTCTGAATATATATCTGCACATCAGTAAAATTTAAAAAAAAAAAAGCAAATGAACCTTGAACCAGAAAGAAGTCAAGAGTAATGTAATTCATGCTGACACACTGGCCTCAGAAGCACCTTTCTCAATATGCTCCAGGTGGAAGGCATCATCTGACAGGGTTTCATCACAGGCCCTGTCCTCGTCCTTCCCACAGGGGGCCTGGAAGCCTTCAGGGGGCAGGTCTGCACTTTCAGAGAGCTCACTTTTCAGGCTGGCTGCGCCACTGCTGCTGCTACTCAAACTGGCCTTCTCAAAGGTTTCCTGGGAAGAAGAATTCAATTTTTAATGCCCATTTCCTCTCTCTCTCTCTCTCCCTCTGTCGCACCTAAAGCCTGTTAGAACATATTTTGAAATGCRAAAAATGGCATTATAAATATTTAATGCAGAAGTAACATCAGTAGTTCCAGCTSTACACCTGCTATGGGATCCATTCAGTCCACAAATATGAAAAAGAAAAAAAAAAAAGAAGTAGGTCTACAAGCTACCATTGGATAAAAAGGGCTGGAGATAGCAAGAGTGCTCTGTAACTAAGACCTAAACAATCTGTTGGTGGGGGTGGAAAATTGTACCTCTAAGGAATATAGCATGTTAAGTTTTTCTCCTAAAATATTYGCTATCGAAGTCTCTCAGCACCATTGCAGGTGCAAGGAAAATTGGTATTAGACAAAGCCACACCATGGAGAGAGAGATGAAGTCCCACTAATGATGAAGAATGGCAGTGAAGAAGACACGCAAACCACTCAGGACTCCAAGTTCCCACCTGCCTCACCCTCTGGAAATAGACACAAGCTCTTTTAGGATCCTCCAAAGGTATGGGGGAGCATTTCCATTATGATACCTCCCCCAGGTCATTAGTGCAATCGTGGATTATTAGACACCATGAAAAGTACATCGAAGATTCAATTCAAATAAAGAAGAAAGATGAATGCCCATCAAATGCTTGAAGTGCCGATTTCTGTAAGGAAAGACACTGGGGATGCAACTACACATGATTCAGGAGAAAAGTGCCCCTTTTTCCTTAACCCAGATAATTCTCTGTGTGAGACTGTTTGCAGCAAACAGGAAGAAACTTCTGTGGGGCTGAGCAGAGCCAATAAACCAAAGGCAGAGATCACGGAGACCAAAAGGACCATGGAAGAAAAGTCATGGAAGAGGAGAGGCGAACAGCTAGAGAGTGTGAGAAGAAAGCAAAAGTCTGCAGTTATASAAAGGGGGAGAATTTCTTTCATGAATTGTATCAAAGATTGATTAGCTACAAGTCAACCACCCTTTCTTTGCTAAAAGGTTCCAATGATGAACGAAGCCCACCTGAGACACCAGTTTGTGTTTATCGATTTATTTATTTCATATATTCTTTTTTTCCTATAATTAAAGTGACACCCACATCCTCAAGGGGCCAATATCCAAAGACCTCCATGGTGATATGATGTGCAGATGAAGAAAAGACCCTATGGGTAAGTGGAGTCAGAAGTAAATCTATAAATGCTTTCAAAATGAAAAAAGAAAAAAATATATAAAACATCTTGTGTGTTGCAAACAGTCTATTTAATTACTGTTTACTATCTCTTTTCCCTAAGAATCCTTTCAGTTTCATTCTTCAAAGTTTCATCAAGTTTCTTATTGGCTTATGCACTTTTACTCCAATTTTCTAGGGCTCGTCTTCCCAATATTCAAAGTGGGGTTTTATGACTCAGAATTCTTCACTCCTGCTTCTTGGTCCTCTAACTTAGAACCTGAGATGGAAAATGTTTTGTACCCTTTTGAGAGAGCTGAATGGGTCCTGCGTAGAAATGTCTCCAGTGCCTAAAGGGAGTAAGGGGCTTCTAATGCTAGCTTCAGCCCTGCCCATACCTAGCTCTTGATACCAAACCCAGGAGCTTCAGGCCTAAAACTTTACCATGAAATTCATTCAGTATTTTCCAAGCCCACCTCTTCACCTCTTTTTCTAACCCAATCCATAGAATTCTGATTCCTCTATTCTCAACTGAAGTCATTAAAAATTCACCTAGAAATAACACCCAGTTTAAGCACTTCTCCTTATGATCCTCCTTAAATGTAAATAAGTTATCTCCTGCCCTATTCTAAAGATCATAATTGGCATTTCCAACCCTCTATGGACTAAACACCCCAGGTGTGTCAATGCTATCAATGTTGAAAARGATGAGAGAGAAATTTTTAGTTGAGAAAACTTTATTGTACAAATGCAATTAGATGCAAGAATTCATATATTTCTAAAACTACCCAAAATTTAGTTAAAAAAAAAGATTTCTTTCTCAAGAATACACATGTATAAGAAAATCAGAGGAAGTCAATTTTCTTCACACAACTCAGGAGTGAGGAGAAGCTGTAAGTCAGGCAATTCCAGACTTAAGGCCAGACTTGCCACCAATACCCAAGAATCAGTTGGGCTGTAAATCATGCATCACTTGCAACTGCCAAAATTGCATCTATGCGGGGCTGGGGTTATAGCTCAACAGTACAGCGCTTGCCTAGCACATGCAAAGCTCTGGGTTTGATCCTTAGCACCACATAAAAATAAATAAATAAAATAGAGGTATTTATTTTTTAAATTGCATCCATGCACAGTTGGGTATTTGTATAAATTCTGATAACGTGGAATTTACGATCTGAAGGAAGTGYTTTTCTAGACTTTATAAGCATGGAAAGTATAGTAAGAATGTGTAGTTGTTTTGGTTTTAAAAACCTATATGTCTGTAATGATATCTTGTAGCAGTTCTTGCTTTGAAAAATCAATATAGATTTGTCTTTGCTATAAGCCATACACCACTGTGGGCACATTCTTCCTAATGTGATTTCCGGAAGTTTTCATTTATTTTCTTTCCTTTTAATCCCTCAGCATATTGCACAATATTTGTGTGTGTGTGTGTGTGTGTGTGTGTGTGTGTGTGTATGTATAATGCTAGGAATTGAACCCAGGACCTATCAGATGCTAGGTAGGCGCTCTACCACTGAGCTATATCCTTAGCTCCCTGTACAATGTCCTAAATACAGCAAATATTCAGTAAATAGTCCCGAGTTGAGATCAAAGGGAAAGGACCAGAAAAGCAGGTGAAATTCCTTATACAATGAATGTGTTTGTAACTTTCATGCTTTTTGATCTCACCCAGAAGCCTACATCATGAAGTTCCCTTAAGGCCTGAAGGGATGATCTGGTGATGCACCTGTGAGTAGGAGAAGACTTCTCCCTTCCTATTTCCCATCTGTACTTCTGAGAAGTAGTACTGTCTTCCAGGTGGCCACTTTAGCAATGATGACATGCCCTTATAACCCAGCAGGCACTGACCAAAGGCAGGAGATGATTAAATGCTTTTGCTCTAAACATTGAGGCCACGAAGATGTGCTCATAAGATACCTCTAACAAGTACAAGCTTATAAAGGGATTTAGGAAGGAAGGAAGGAAGGAAGGAAGGAAGGAAGGA